ATTTATATATTTTAGAATCAAATAATCAAGTAATAAAATATTATATATATTTTTTAACACCATAAATCATTTATACTTAAATATTTGACTTATTAATAAGCATATCAATAATCTACTTAAAGATTTGTATTTTTCAAATACTTTTTTTAATTTAGTCCCTCAACATCTCAATTTTGTTCAATTTGATCCATGTACTATATATTTTTATTTAATTTAATTCCTATGATATAGTCATTTTTTTAAATTTTTTGATCTGCCATATGGCATTGACACATCAGTATGTCAGTGCCACGTCATCACTTGATGCCACATGACATGTCACGTCATAGAAAATGTGACCTATTAGCATTGACATTATCACTGACGTCATTCTTTAATATTAAAAGTGGAAGCCGTTAGGAAGAGGGATTAAATTGAAGTAATTTTTAAAATTAATTGGTTAAATTGTTTCAATTTTGAATATAAAGACTAAATTAAACAAAATCCTTACGTATTTAAGTTTCAATCCATCACATGTCAGGCACCTAGCTTAATCTCCAAAAGTTTTAAAATCTTTCTTCAAGTCTCGGATACCTTTTTAACTGACACATAACAAAATGAGAAAGTTCATTTGAGACTTCCTTTTAAATATGTAATAAGTATGTCTTACGTATTTAAACTTATTTGTGAAAAATATTGAAAACTCAATTCTTAATTTATAGGATTTTTTTTAATAGCCTTTTAATGTTGACTTACAAAATAATGCCAATAATGATTTGCCTACATATAAGATTTGTTGGATTTTTAAATTTCATTAATCCGACTAAACATTCCTTGACAATCAACATATTTTACATAAATGTTATATGCAATATAAGAAATCAAATGAACAAATTAATTAAGATTTAGTTTGTTTTTAATGAAGATTTAGTTTGGTTGATATTTTAAAAAAAAAACGTAATAGAAAACAAAAAGTAAAAATAAAAAAAGAATAATATAAGACAAAATAAAAAAAAACAATAAAATATCAACTAAACGAAACTTAAATAAATTAATAAATTCACATAAAGTTAGATGAATCTCCCATATATTGATTCTTTTTTTTCTAAAAGCAAATTTCATTAATTGTTGGATTCTTGTATAGTCATATCATTTTCCTCTTTCTTTATATGTTTCAGAATGATTTGATGGATGGACGGGGATTGGTACTTGTAAGGGTCGAGTCTGAGACTTGAAAACAAAGTTTTCTGTTGAATTTGATTAAGGACTTGATTTAGCACGGAAGCTCCAAGGCGACTCCGATATTGCGCCACCACTATAAAAAAAAACATAATATTATTGATGAAAAATTTCATAGATAATACTTTTGATTTCATAGATAATAATCTGTCGTTAGTAATAACTAATCCGTCGATAAGATTACTGGTCGAATATTCTGTTAATATTTTTTTGACAAAAGCTTGGATTCATAGACTCATATATTCGTCAGTATTGGAAAAAATATGTTGGTTCTATTGCCGACAGATTATTATCTATTGAAAATTAGTGATTGAATAAATTCGTTGATAATTCTGTTAGTAATTTGGCAACGGAATTTATCGACAGGACATTGACGGAGTAGGTTTTAAAGTTCAGAAACCAAATATGTCAACAATGCCTTAGAATCTATTGGTATTTCATTAGTATTTTTATGAACTCCATCAAGTAATTGATGAATTTCATCGATAATTTCATCTGTAATTGATGAATTCTTCTCTAATGGATGAAATCAGTTGGTAATAATTGCAAAATTAGGTTTTTTTTTAATTCAATTTTGTCTTGTTAGTAATAATTATTACATACTGCTGTTATTCATAAAATAAATATATAGCAAACATATATGTATATAAAAAATATGAAAATGTAATACAAACCATAAGCAATAAAAATAAATAAAATCTAATGTAAAGATTCGTGAAAAGTACGAAAATACAAAGAAGTATCAAATACAAGGCTCTTTAAGGGAGTGGCCATTATTGCTGCAACTGTGGTTAAGGCGGAACACCCAACTGCTGCAGTGTGGAAGACCCAAAGGTGTTTGAAGGCGGTAACCTTGATGCAATCACCTCCAACAAATTATTAATATTGCCCACCGACGTCATTAAAAACCCAACATTACTAACTAATTGCTAATAGCCCTCAGGTTCAAGCGTAGGAGGCAGAGGAGGTCAGGTAGTACCATGACCACAAGTGGACTCGCACATTGTTTCTAGAGCTAGAAGTCTAGAAGCAGCGACTCTGCAGCCAAAGTTGTAGACGTGGCTTCGCATACTGTTGGACCCTCCGATTGCCTCGATCCATGCGTCAAGGTCAAACTTTGACTGGATCGATATCACATCACTGTACTTCTGTGATAAAGCTTAAACGTTTGATTTTTATAAATAAAAAAGTAATTAAAATTATTATGATATTTAATTGTTCAACAACATATATATCGAATATAAACATACGTATTACTTTCACAGATAATTTTGAATTATTTAATTAACTTATTAACACTTTAATTAATTTAAAAAAATTTTAATCAAATAACATTACTAATTTAATTAATTACTTAATTACTAAAAATCCAACACCTAATATAGATTACTAAAACATTTTTTCATTTGATTAGTTATGAATTTGCTTAATTTCATTTGATTATTAAAAATTATTTCCTTTTTCTTAATTACTAAAAATTAGTTACTAATTTTTAATAAACAACTAAACCCTAAACCAACATTTTTGCAATTAGATTTTCTCTGCTAGCAGCTAACAACTAAATTCTAGCAAATAACCAAACCTTGCCAACAACAAATCAAAACATCAAGCAATAATTACCAAGCAAAATAATGCTAGAAACATATATAGATAATAATTAAAGAAACAACAGAAACAAGTCAAAGATTCGAGAGTAAAATACTCTCAGACCTCTCAGTTTTAATTGAAATTTCGAGTGGATCTATTAGTTTTCGAAATGGACATTTCGCTTGAAAATAATCTCACTAGATATATAAGTCCAACCTTTAGTGAACTCTTAATATTTCTATTAGTTTGATGACATAGCAATATTGACATGATAATTTTATCCTTTATTAATTTTAAAAATTATTATTATATATATTTAAATTATTTATTAATTATTATATTTTTTAAAAAATAAAAAATTAAAAAACACTACTCCCTAAGAAAGGATTTTTTTTATTTTTTAAAAATATAATAATAATTTTTTAAATTAATAAAAAAAAATGGCATTTTAGTCTTTTCATAATCTCTATTAATGGCATTTACATTTTTTGAGTAGAGTATTTATTTCGAAAACTAATAGACTCGGTTGTAATTTCGATTAAAACTTAAAGATATGAGGATATTTTACCCAAGATTCAAACACATAACGCTAAAAACAATAGCAACAAATCAAAGGTTCAAACAATAATGCTAGCAACATATAAAGACAAAGAATCCCCATGCTAAACCCTAAACCCAACAGCCAACAACCTCAATATTTCAAACAATCAAAACCAAAAAAATAGCCAAAGCTAAACGATAGAAAGTTAACCTTTTGGGTAGCTTAAAATTGAATAGGAGAAAGAGAAGGAAAGGGAGCCTATCAAAAGGGAGCTTCAATGGAGGTCAGGTAGGTCAGACGAGAGAACAAGAAGCAAGGGGAGTCGATCGAATGAGAGAATGAGTCAGACCTGCAAAGGGTTGGGTCGATCATCAATGTGGGTTTGGTCAATTTCAATTGTTGAAGGATGCAATGAGGTCGGGCCTGAGGTTGAGTAGTGGGAGAGACTAAGAAACAGAGAGGATAAGGGAGAAGAAAAAAGGGGGAAATGAGGGAAAAAGGTCGTGTAGGGGTTTTAATTTAGATTACCGATGAAATCACTGATAAAATGCTCCGTTGATAATTAAAAAATAATTACTGACGAAAACTTCGTGAATAAATCTATGGTAAACTTACCAACATTTGCACTGGTCTCACCGACTGACAAAATTTCTGTTGGTGATTTAACTATATTACCGACCATATATTCTATCTAAAGTGTGGTCGATAAATTCCATTGATAAAGACATTGCCGACGAATAGATTTCGTCGATAAAGTTCAAGCCATCTAACTATTATTGCACACCACTGTCTTATCAACAGAATATCAAAGATATGATTCCGTCAATATTCTGTTAGTATTTATTGCAATCTTATTTCATCGGTGATTCATCGATAATTATCGAGGGATCCATTTCGTCGATAAAAGTGTATTTTTTTAGTGCACCTAGCTACATTGGTTGAGTGCCATATGACTTCTAATTTGAGAGGTCTAAGGTGTGGCATTGGTTCTCCTTTGCATGAGGTTAGTTTAGTTATCTATTAATACAATGCTTTTAAGAAAAATGGATGGAGATGTGTTAAGCCTGCGAATGAAAAAAATTGGTGTGGTAGATTCACAATGGGGTACTCAGCCAGTAATTCCTTCTCTTGGGAACCAAGGCAAGCAAGAGGATGGGAAAGCTCCTTGGAAGGGGTTAAAAGCTAGGTGCAAAAATGAGTGGTATATGCTTCATAATCGTCTCTTAGAAAGGGAGAAATTTTTTTGTTCTATTTTCCCCAAAACTCTCTAATTGTCACCTTCATTTGTACATGTATCATCTCACTTGATGTGTGTTAGAGTTTGGTGTTAGATTTTTAATTTTTATTTTATGTTTGATGATTCCAAATTTAATGTGTTTATTGGAAGAGGTATAATATTTGATTGTAGAAAGACATGTACCTATAGAAGGACACATTTGTTCACTTTAAAATAAGTGTATCCAAATGAAAAGGCACATTGGTGATGATTCACCGTTGATAAATACCCAACCCCTCTTTTTGAAAAATTCATTCAAAACATTCCATATTTCCAAAAACTTTATTTTTTTTTCATTTTAAAGTTCTTTAAAGAGCAGTCAAGGGGTTTACAAGTTTTTTGGATTTTCTATTTGAGTGCACATTAGAATAACCTCGATGGTTTGTTGTATCTTGAGAGTAGAAAGTTATTGATTGCTATTTGCATAGCGATAATGAGGAAAATTTACTCTGAAATCAATGTCTTCCATAATATGCCTCGAACTGATTTTTTCATTCAAAACTCTTTTTTGTTTTATGTTGTTAATTGTTAAGTATTTATTTTTTTATGTGTTTTTTCTTTATCTTTTCGAATATAGATTCTAACAATGTTTGAGTGACAATTTTGCTGAAGAAGGTAGACTCAATTCCTTGAGCCACTTGTTTTGTATCTTAATATAAAAGGAGAGAATTTAAAAGGAAAAGACACGTTTTTCATTATTGTTGTAAAAAGATATATATATATATATATATATATATCATTATTCAAAGAATTGAATTTAAATTCCTATTTAACAAATAAAAAAGAAGAAGAAGAAACATATCATGTTTCAGTTGATGAAATGTTCCTACACATTTTCTTCATTATTACAATATGAAAAGTACTGCAACTTGACTTTATAGTCTTAATTTTTTATCTAATTAAGCTCATATTCATTTCATATCAATATATAAATCAAATCATAAAATTTCTACACATATTTAATGCATAGAACGTATTATTGCCAAATGATACATGAGCTCTCAGTGATCGAGAAATAAAAACTTTAGTTATAATTAGGAAAGCTACAAGAAATTGTTCACGCATGAGTCACAAGCATGTCAAGCCAAAAATAAAAAATAAAAAAAAGGAAAAACAATTTACAAAACATAGCCTAGGAAAAGCAAGCCAGCCTACGTAAATGACAAAAGTTATACTCATATTTATTATATCTAATTATCTATCCAAGCACGAAAGTCCTTACCAAAGACCTGTCATCCCCGGATATAAACAAAATCCTGATTAATTAATTAAGCTAATCATTTATCATGATTATATTTGAATGACAATTTGTCTATTTTGTTGAAAGGCTTATCATAAATTTAGCATGTAATATTTAATTGAATGCGGTTACATCAACGGATGTGACAAATGTCATATCTTACATATACTTGCATAAACTATATATCATTTTATCAATTGTAAGATTTAACGCATTGCTAGAAATTTAAGAAGGACGTGACAGGAAAAAATGTAAACTAACCATTTGCATTTTGCAGGTACAATTGGACATTTATAGCTATTATTATTATTATGAATGTCGTCTTTATTTGTATTAAACAATTTCAAAGTTCAGAGTTGTTCTAGCCAAGCTTGAAAACTTGGTCTAAATTCTTTGAACATACCCAACTATCAAACAAAATAAAGCAAATAAAACCCATAAACACAACGCAATTAAAGAGAAAATTCATCAATAATGGAACACATAAACATTGTACTCCACAATGGTATGGGCTTGAGAATTTGAGTAAGGCCTCGCCTGAGCATACCCACGAGCAAACCGGAAAAGCCCACTCCCGCCAACGATCGGCATCTCCCTCACGGTGGAAACAACCTTGTTGCGCCCCAAAACACTAAGAGTGCTACCATTATATTTCCCTTGGGTGAAAACGAAATTGAAAACCATTAACAAGCTAAAGTCAGTTTGCGATGCAAATGCATATATTCCTTGAGCTCTGCCCACCATTTTGGAGTTGACATCGGGCTTGATCGTCAAAGGGTCGTCGATCATCACCACGGCTCCGAAGGACGATGAGGAACTGTTGGTTGAGGGTGCTTCGGCAACACGGACAGCAGTAGCATTTTTGCCGGAGACTAGGTCGTGGAAGTAGAAGTGAAGGTGGGATAGCTTCTCTCGCTTGAGCCCTAGTGATGATGGGGATATGTATCTTGAGAAAACCTCATCAGATTGATGAGCGATAGCAAGGGCTGAGAAAGAGATGATGGTAAACAGAATAAGGAAGAAGATGTAGCTTTGCTTTGTAAGCATTGTGGCGATGGTTGGTTGGGACTCCTAGGAAGTAGCGCCCTAGAGTTGAAATTTAAGTGGTTTAGGATTAAACGATAAGCCTGAGGTGGTTGAGGGGAAATTAATGAACAATGGACCTTGGTGCGGAATCTCTTTTAGGGTGTTCCTGATTACACTCCACGCTGAATAGAAAACGCCACGTACAAAGAATATAATACAAAAGTCAACTCTTGAACCTTAAGTAGTTGGGCTAAGCGAAGAAGAGTAATCCAAGTTGGGCTGCCAGGGTTTTTCTATTGGATCAATATATGTTTTATTTCAAAAAGATGGACACATAGCCTCCAGCTTCTTTGGTGAATAGATTAATTTTTTTTTTTTGGAATTTTATTGGATTACTTTGTAAATTTTTAATACTTACATCAAACACTAACAACTCTCCTTAACAATCACTTAAAAAGTGAAATTATACAATTGCTTTTTGTACACTTTAATGTGGATATAATTCATGTATAATAAATTGTAAAAATTAAGTTATTATACTTTGTAAAATTGATAATATATATGAAACCAATTATTAACAGTATTAATTTTTTTAATTATGTTGATATATATATAGTATTTGATGCTATGAGTATGATATATTTTTATTAATGTAACATTGAATAAGATAATGTACTAATAATGTAATATTTAAAAGTGATGTAATAATTATTTTGACGTGACTTAATCAATCACCTTATGTAAACTAAATTAAACAACCATTTGCATTTGAGGAGGTTTTACAGTATATTATAACACACCAGGGGCTGCTCGGTGTTTAAAATATAAATGAAAAATTTATTTGAATTATCCTTTGTTTGTGGAATCATCTCCCTGACAACGTGGGACCGATCTTGAAAAGAACTGTCGTGTATTGGAAGCAAAGTGCGGAAAAGTTTTTGTACGATTTCTAGGTTCAGATTGATTACTGGCATCCGCAAAGGCCACTTCTGTGCTTTTTTAGCGGTCGAATGTCGCAACAATGGAAAAGTTGGAGGTGATTCGTTATTTGATTTGTAGGTAGTTAAGGTAAGGATTTGATAGGCCAAATAGTGGTTTAAAGTGCTAGGACCTGATCTAGGGAATTTTTCTCAGTGATGAGTTGGGATGAACTTATGGGTGGAACTTCTCAATATCATTTCAATGATTCGGGTTCCGGGATCTTTTGTCTCTACAGTTGACTTTGGGTAGGGGTATCCCTGGTGGAGTTGCTTTCAAAGGGGCCTATGTGTTCTGGCATAGGATACTTTTTGACACGAAATATCGGTATGATAGGGTGTTGTGAAAACACAGGGATCTACTGTTGTCCGGACAAGGAAGATTTGAGAGTACAGATTGGATGTGATACTGTGAGGGTCTAGCAATTAACAGTTTAAATATTGGCTTTTGTGCTTTGTTCGGGGGATAGGGGTTGACCTTGCGGGAAGTAAACTCTGTGTGCAGATCATTTGGTTAAGACAGGTTTTGGAATGGGGACTTTCTTCCTTAAATGCACAGAGGCACAGAAAAGCTCTGGTCTTGATAGAACTGCCTTGTCTCGGTGTTTTTATTTCAGGTTGAGATGGATGAGGATTGATGGGATAGTGTCTGCGCTTGGGTTTCGCTAATTTATGCGGTGATAACTTTATTCAACATTGTATGCTGAGACGGAGTTGGCCGCTTTTGAACGATTGGATTCGGATTAAGTTGGAAGAAGGGCTCAAGGTAAAGGTGCTGCTCAGGGTGGTCAGTGGTGTCCTTTTTTGTATAGACATTAACTGATTTAATCTCTTAGTTGGTCCCGTCTCGCCCTCTTTTTATTGTGAATCGCTGCTATGTTTTTGGACAGCATGGTGGATAGGTTTCATGGTGGTTTATGGGTTTGCTGTGACAGGATTTGGGATGAGTGTAAAGTATGTTTGTTGAAAATTTTTTTGATGTGATTTCTAAGGATATTTTTGTAAAGGGAGGATGTTTATTTTTTTTTATTGTTTTGTTAAGGTGAAAAATCTCTCAAGGCCAACTATATTGTTAAAATTTTATTAAAATGGAAAATAGAAGTAAGAAAGAGACATAAACCTTATATCTAATATTATATAAAATATTTCATAAAAAAATCCTAAAAGAAGTACTACTTTCTTTCCATAAAGTGTATAAAAACATGAATTTAAGAGATAAAATAAATAAGTACTGTTAGAATTTAATATAAGGTAAATTACTTCTATCTCTGTTTTGCTTTGGAAAGGTTACTCAATGTGTTTGCAGATTTATGCCCCGTGAGGAACTATAGTCTAATGGCCTTGTCCTGGCTGTGTATGTGTATGTGAGGTATCATTCTCTGATGAGTTTATGGAATAACCTGTTCTTGCGGGTTTGTCAATGGAGGTTTGCTTGTGTTAATGAGGTGTGATAGTGAGAGTGATCCAGGCTGATGTAATTTTCTGTAACCAGTCTAATGCTATAATTGTTGGCTTGAGACTTGCACTAGCATCTTTTTGCTACTGGAATCAATATATACCATTTTGCCATTTTAAAAGGAAAAACAACCATTTGCAATTTGCAAGTATATAATTAGGTATTTATAGCTACTATAGTAAATAATAACAATGATAATTATTATTTTTATTTTTATTGTTATTATTAATGTCCTCTCTATTTGCATTTGATAATTTCAAAGTTCAGAGTTACTTCGGCAACGCGGATAGCAGTAGCAGTTTTTGCCGGAGACTATGTCATGGAAGTAGAAGTGAAGGTGGGATAGTTTCTCTCGCTTGAACCCTAGTGATGATGAGGATATGCATCTTGAGAAAACCTAATCAGATTGATGAGCGATAGCAATGGTTGGGAAGGAGATGATGGTGAAGGGAACAACGAAGAAGATGGAGCTTTTGCTTTGTGAGCATTGTGGTCACCCTCGGAAGTAGAAGTTATGGCCGTGGTTGGATCGGCCTAATGGGTCAATAAATATTTTATTCCAAAAATGGGCACACAGGCCTTCATCCTGTTTGGTGAATAGATTAATGTTTTTCAAATGGCGGCAACTTTCCATAATAGTCACTTAAAATTATGTCTGTTCATTAATTAAAAAACTCTTTCTATATGTAATCATTTCTACTATTTTTGATAGGAGAGTTCTGAAACTTTGTTGTATCTTTGAAGCATAATAGTCTTTTAGAGAGATAAAAATCAAGGTTAAACTTCTGCCAAGCAGCTGTACAAGAAAATCTTTTCTGCCTTATGTTTCTATAGCATTACTATAAGTGTTTGTTTTTTGTGGGTTTACACTTATATTAATATAAGAGAACTATTAGTCTGGTTCTAGTTAACAATATGATTGGAATGACTTGGTTTGCAGATGAGTTTAAAGTTCATTTGGCTCTGAAATTTTTATATTGATTTATATAGTTTTTAAAATCAAATTAAAATAACCTAAGCTCACTTCGATTTTTGGCAAATTTACTAGAATAAATTTCATCATGAGTTGTAATATTTCATTTTTCATTCATTAATTAAAAATTTTAATTCTTTTAATTTATAATCTTTTAAATTTATTCTAAATCCATACATTTGTTAACACACCATTAAATTATGTGAATAAAATTTATTTGTATAGTGCTCATGTCATGGACTCTACATCAGTAACAGATGAGGTAAGTCTTGAGTATTTAAACATGGGGCTTTCACCGTTTATTAGATATGCCTTTTGGGTTGAAAACTTGAGCTCATGACAATTGATAAGAGAGAAAACCCGGATCTTTACTGATGTAGAGCCCCATGAGAGATACAAGGGTCCGGGTAGACTCAAATTAGTGTAAGAGTCTCTCTCGTTTTATGAGTAAATAGCCAGTGCAATGGCGACATTGCACAATTGGGTGGGGTTAGAAATGTAGTGATATCTCATAAGGTTTCTATCCCATTTTGCCTAAGTACTAAAGATGTTAGTGTTTTATATAAGTAAATTCATTATGGGCTTATTGAAAGCTAGAAAATAAAGTGGTCTCGTACGTCCACAAGATTGGGCCAAGCAGTGATATCTTATAAGATTTCTATCCCACATTGCTTAAGTACAAAAGATGTTAGTGTTTTCTATAAGCAAAATCATTATGAATTTGTTGAAAGCTAGAAAAGAAAGTAGTCTCATATGCACACAAGATTGAGTAAGCCTTGAGAAAATGTGGATTCCCCCTGCACGCGAGGGCTAGACACAAGTAATATTTTTGTACCTTGGTAGTTATATATTTTTTATTTTCAGCTTCAAATTTTAAACATTTATTTCCTAATTTTGGATTGATTCTCCATCCTCAAATATCTCACCAAACAACCATTCCTTCCCTATAAATACTGTGATCCACTTTCATTCTTAATACACCAAAAATCAATTTTCTCTTATTCTTTTTCTCTACTCAACTGGTCTCTGTAATTTGTTGGGTTCTTTCTTCCATTAATTTTTTGTTGCTTTTGTATCTCTGATAGTTTATGCAAACTATTTAAGATGAGTCTATTGAATCTTTGGATAATCGCTTTAATCTTTTTGTGTCTCGTTTCATACTCCAAAAGGTAAAAATTACCCTTAAGGACAATGCATCACACCTTAAACTTATTTGAATAGTTTATCAACTTCAATTATCAACAACAATCTTTAGGATAAAATGGATTCTCATACTAATAATGTTTCTATTGCTGTCATTGCTTCCACCACCACTATCAATGGTTTTACCTCGACAACTATTGCCATTATTGTAAATGTTGCCAATACCTCTACCACTCTTGTTACCTTGTCCATTCTTGCCATACCCTCAATGTCATATGCAAAACCGTTTCCTGACATATTCAAAATCGAGGTGTTTGATGGCAATAATTTCAAAAGAAGGCAAGAAAGGATCTTTTCCACCCTTGATGTTATGGAATGGCTTTTGCATTAATCGATTTCTAGCTAGACAATATCAACATGCTAGAATAATGGACACACTCAAATAAGATAAGCAGGCATACAATTATTAGCATGCTTTCTAATAAGATATTTGATGTTTACAGTCTTCACAAAGAAACAAAGCAATTATGGGATTGGATGGTTACCAAATATACCATTAAAGATGGTAAGAAACA